TGAGGTTTTGAAAAGTCTGGATAACAACAGAAGTAGTTATGGGTTTTTTCTGCTTGTAGGTGTTGGAACAGTAACTTGGAGCGAGTACCTAAGTATGTCCAGAAAGGAGAAGTGAAGCAGAGCTACTCCTCCACATGAGTAATCCTCACAATCTGATCTCTGCTGCAGCTCAGGAAAGCTATTTCAGTCACCAGATCACTGTCCTGAGGGGACAAAAAAACTTGAGGAAGAGCTAATAAATAATAATAAAAATATCTACTTCCCGGTGGTCTGAGTGTTAAGGCTGTAAGCAATACAATCAGATTCAAAAGAATCAGAAGGAACAAGGTATCACTATAAAAAGCTATTTTTAAAAATGTGTTTGAAGTCATTAATGTGGTGTATTTTAATTAAAAATAAAATTTTAATTCTGAGATTGCTGAGTACATCTACACAATATACTGTGCCCATTTACTCCAAGTGTATGGCATATAGCCCACTTATACAGTTTTCAGCTACAGGGATTTGGTCAAACACTCCCCTTGCTGTTTTGAGGGCAGCATATTGGCATTATAGATTTGACCAAATGCAACAGAACTTGTGGGACATCCCCAAATGATTAAACTCTGGCTTACGAGACAATTACAGGTCTTATTATACTCAGGTTTATTTTGGGTTACATGAAGCAAGTCTATGTAACTATGCATATTTAAAGATACAGAAGAGATCATAGGCTTTGTCTAATAGATTAAACACATCACACAGTTCATTTGTGCTTTCTTATTCAGGACTCTCCTATACTGGGAAGAGGTAAAGTGAAGAACTTATTCTAGTTCCAAAAGCAGCTGCAATTGAGTATACAGAACTCTTTGTAACATCCCTTGGTATTTTCAAACTAATACCTAAATTTTAAGTGTTATGACTGACTATTTCCTTGAATTATCCAGAAATCACCAATGAGAGTTTAAACAGCATTGATTTTCTGGAAATTTCATGACACTGACTATCAATATCATTTTGTAAGTCTGCTCATCTCATGCTTTCTGCCATAGGTACCAGGACAATTGCACTGTTCCCATGGACACTGGAGAAATAAGCCACAACTTCTGGATCTCTGAGCCAACTTCTGGATTCTCTGATCCAGAAATCAGCACTGAAAGTCTGCTGGCGACGCAATAGAGAGAGAGGTGACTGAGAAGACATTACCAGGCTCTTCAGCTCAAGTCAGATACAAATGTGTATTTCAAACCACGCCCCAAATTACCAAACTCTTAAGGAAAAGAGAGTACACTTTTATTTACATTCATATTAAAAAGCCCAGTCTTTGTAGACTAGTGGTGACACATTGGAACAGGTTGCCCAAGTAGGTTGTGGATGCCCCATCCCTGGAGGCATTTGAGGCCAGGCTGAATGTGGCTCTGGGCAGCCTGGTCTAGCAGCTGGTGATCCTGCACACAGCAGGGGGGTTGAATCATTTGGTCCTTTTCAACCCAGGCCATTCCATATCCCTGTGATGCATCCCTGCACTAAGTCACCTAGCTGCATGATAGTGTTGGGTCAGACAACATCAGTTAGATTTGGCACTATTAAAATGCCAATGCGAGTAATATTTTTAGGAGTACTGGATAATAATTGTATCCCATTTGCCTGCTTTAGCACAAGTTTAAATTACTTGTAATAAGGCACAAAAATAGGTGCGTAATGTTATTCTAACTGCTGTGCAGCAACATTGTTGCATGAGTACTTAATTTCAGTCATACCACACCATTCTGATATCAAAGTGAGGAACAACATGAAAAGTTGTATTCAAAACTTTGGACTGTAACTGGGTGTACCTCCTGCTCATAGCAAGGTAATGAAGACTTTTTTTTTTTTTGAAAGCAATGTGAAGTTACAATCTGTAATACCTTCCCTGGAAGCTGGGGTATGTTAAATTCCCCTTACTATCAGTGGCTGGTGCCATGAATAAACTCAGAAGTACTGTCTTCACACCTGAATTTGCATCAATCTAGTTATGTTAGATTCTGACTAATAATGATTAACGGCCTTCAAAGCAGACAAAGCCTCTATGTAAATCTTTGTAAAAACAGAAATCTCAAAAATAAAAAGATAATAGTCACTGGTCAGTGCAGTGATGGTTATCGTCACCTCAACAACCAGCTTGTCTCATTTACAATTACACAATGAACTACTGATGTATTTATCTTTCTCTGGCCAATGTTTCTGAGTAATGTGCATAAAAAAAAAAAAAGGTGCCAGGAGAAGGAGTCATGTCACTGCTTGCTGCCATGCTGAAAATGCCAGTCATTACAAGTGTCACTAATGAGATCGTCCTCATTCTTCTTTCTCCCTACCTGGCATCTACAGCCAAGTCAGAAGACATGCTGCAGAGTTAATGAGCGCTGTGAAATTTGCTCTAATTTTAAGAACAAAAGAACTCACACATGACTAATATGGCCAGACAACAGAAACCTGCCTGAGGTGAAAGGTAAAAAATGCACTAGTTCTCAGGAAGGCAAGAGTGGAAGGAAAGGTGCTGGCAGAGGCATTTCAACCCATTAACAAGAAGTATATTCTTACTAGCAGTACTCAGCTTTTTCTCTGTAACATCTCCTGACTGGCTAACTAGTAAACACAAGAGAAAATGGAAATAATTTTCTGCCAAACATGCACAGCTGTAGGTCCACCTCTGATGATTCATCAGCAGCACCAGGCATTTGCCAATTTTGTCTTTTTTAATTTTAATTTAGGATGGATCTAGAAGTGGCAGCAATTTCAGTCTATGAGGGGAAAGGAGCCCACAGCACGTAAGGAAAGCAGCAGACGAGACAATAGTAACTATTTCAGTGCATAGATGCTCAGTTGGATGTCACAGCTTGCATTTACAATGACTAATCAGTAAATTTGAATATGATACTCAGTATAGAAGCAGTAAGTTAGCAATAGCAGAGTAGTTCAAATTATGTTTCTCAAAATATAAAACGTTTTATAATCCATAGCAACTTCCTTGCTAATAATAAAATTGGAATGAATTCTGCATTCAGAATTTCAGTGAAATTACATACTGAGTAAACAGGTGTAGAATTTGGTCCAAAATATTTCCTTGTACTGTGTTCTGATCTCATCTGTTCCTTCACAGGCTTTCACTTCCCTTCTTTCTCCAGATGGAGAGCAGAACAACACACAGGCAAGATCACAGTTTCTTTTAGAAGAGTTCATGTACTCTGATGACAAAGCCATTACATTTGTATCACACTAACAAAGAGACAGGTCTTCTCTTCAAACCACAGTGAGACTATCCCAAGAAAAACAAACCCTATTCCATCCACTATCAGCAGTCTCTGTGAATGCAATATGGGGAAAAAAAACAAATAACTGCTTGCACAACTTACAGAAACATTTCAATTCACACGTTTTCCTCTATCAGCGGAGAGAAAAAGGTATACTCCAATTTCTTTGAATAATGAAACAGCACTTCACTGAATGTTCCATTTGTTTCAATTTTTTTTGTTGACTTAGCTTTGAGACATGAATCATGTTAAAATATTAACTTAAATACGTTTACTTACTGTGACAACAACATATTGCATGGCTTACAATATTAGACTATTCTGACATTTTAAAAACAACAGTTAAATGGTCCCAAATGAGCGTTTTTTCTGAAGGCCTATTTTACAGGAAATATGTTTTCTTCATTTCAGCAACAGAAACAAATATTGAAGAACTGTATCTGTGGAAGAGAATTTTTTCTGACCTTTACATTAATACAGTGCTTTAAAGAACATTTTAGAAAATGCACCAGCTGTAGAGTGTCAAATATAATATGAAATCTGAATTACAAAGAAAAGGAGCAGTTCCAATATATCCTGAAGTCTCAGAGAATTTCAGCTAAGAGGTTTAAATTGTAGTTGCTTTAATTCATTTGAAGCACAGTTCTGCTTACTAAGTTTTGAACTTAGAAGTAGTTCATTAATTTTTCCCTGTGCTCCATAAATAAATGTTTTAAGCATTTCAAGCGTACTAATTGAAAAATATTTGTTTAAAGAGTTTGGAGAGCAACTAAAAAAGGAACAAGAGAAACTTCATATTACCTTAAAATAAAAACATAACTGAGATCTGTTCAACAGTATTTGACTAATGTATGTACATGAACTGATCAAGTCTGTCTCATGCAAGTAATATCCCACCTTCAGTAACTATGTGAAATTATCTTCTAGTTTCCTGTGACTTTTCAAGCTGAACTTTCAAAACTACAGCTATCTATTAGCTGCTGGTTTCTGCTGCTGGCCAACAAGATTAAACAAGCATCTCACTTTGCAATTAAATAAGACACCTAACTGTTTTGCTAAACCAAAAACTACCCTGGGTTCCTTGCACTTGAAGGTGAGAAAAGGTGAACAGCTTCTGAAAGAAATTTTCTGACTTCACAAAAGAACCCTTTTCATTCAAGGCAAATGAAGAAAAGGCTTTGGGTAAATAAAGAACCATGCAATGGTATTACTGAGAACCACATCAGAATGATACTTTACCCACTGAGAGTTTATAGTGCTCACTCCTTTTAAATCCACCCCAGTAATGGTAACTCATGACATTTATGCACGATTATCATTAATGAAAAAGTAATAATATGTACACAGCAACAAACGGAAATGCTTGTACATATGTAACTAATGCTATAATCTCATCAAAGCAAATAAGAAACCAGTGAATACATTCAAAAAAACCGTTACTGAGGCATTAAAATTTCTCATAGGCATAGTGGTGACATTGATAGCTACTGCTTTTAACTGAAAAGATTCATTATGTAATTATTCAAGTGACTCCAATGCACAGTAGCAGGCATAGAAAATTTTGTAAAACTAAATACTTCATTACATTACTGACCATGTTGTTTTCATCTTTTTATCTTGGTAGAACTTTCAAAAAGCTTTCATAAAGGAACTTTCAATATTAGCATTCACTACTTATGCATGGAACAACATGGCAGAAAGTGTATCTCTGACGTCAAAGAAGTTACTTACAGGTAGTAAGTGTAGGAGTGATAGCTTCTTCTGCCATGATGGTGGAAGGATTAGGCAGTGGTGGAAAAGATGAAATGGAAGGAAAGAAAAGCCAAATATTAATGTATGAAAAATCAAGATGAAACTGAGACCAGAACTGATGACACAAATGGAAGGTAGCAGGAATGCTTATCTGGGCATATCATACACCATGTCTGGAACAGATAGATGACATATAAATCTCCATAAAACTTTAAGCAATGCAATACACAATGCATCTCCAACTGTTAAATTAGACCACTTCACTGCACATCTGAGTAACATTAGACATTTAACGTATACTTATCTCCACATATAATACAAACTGACAAATGAAGTAATAAAATGCCTTCAATTTAGATGCCAACTGTATTAAAAATAGGTATACACAAACTCTGAATATTAGAGTTTTAACCACAAGGAATTCCAGAGTATGTATTATAGAGGTTCCCTTTCAGTCATAATACAATAGAATATTTAGATACCCTGTCTTTTACTTAAAGAAATCAGTTTTGCCATTGACAGGTCCAGGACTTGCTTCCACAGAGGAAAATCAATAGTGACAAATAGCTTTCAGCTTTTTTAATAACTAATTAAATCCTGAAGAAAAACTTACTTTGGAGGTGCTTTCTGTCTACAGCTATATCCATAATTGTTATTTCAACTGCCTTTAAGTTACTTCACAGTAAGTGAAAATTTCCCACTATCACACAAGTAGAAAGACTATATTTTTACTGGCTGAAATTTTATTGGTATTTCCCCACATGACAAAGGGAACAACAAGACCTGAACCTGTATCTCTGTTATTTCAGTCTATGTGAGTGTCACAAAGATTTGGAGACCTAGCGCCACCATCCTAAGAAACAGGCATCCCTCCAGTCTTTCATGCGTTACCTCTTACATAGAGAGACTCTCCACCCAGACATGCACTGCAGAAGCACAAAGAAGTATACCTGCCCTCCAGCTATACTTTTCTGCTTTACATCTCTCTCTCCCTCAGTTACAAGTCTCCTGCAAGTAGGACTGCAACTCTCCAAAAGGGCTAAGATCCAACCCAAATGAATTCCATATATTGACTGTAATTAAAAAGAGGCTTGAGATCTTACAACATTTCAGAGCTTAATGTCAAATAGCATTCACACGTTGGCAAGATAAAAGACTGAAATGAACCATGTAGGCATTTGTAATTTTTAAGCACATACATACAGCCTTTGACTACAGAGGGAAACATGTAAACAGGCCTTGCAAAGGCCTATAACTAATGTTAACTTGCCTCTAGCTACATGCTTCAGGCATCCCTTTGAAAACTAGGCTTTCATCAAATTTTCTCTCTCATCTTCCTTGTGTGAAGATGCCGTTAGAAATGTTTCCCAGTTTTTATTCCCATTTTTCTGATGAAACTTTATTGTTCAAAAACAAGAGGCTAGATAGTGAATATTTAATCACGTGGCAACCTGCAAAAGTGTACACCTGTTAAAGATGAGATTTAAAAGATGCCTAAGAACAAAGTAAAGAAAAAGCTATAGAAACATCTGAACTGTTCTTCCACCAGCACATACTCCATTGCCTTTGGTAACGGGCACAGAATCAGGTCCTACCAAAGCAGTCCAAGCTACCTGTTCTATTAGCAAGGTGTTGCTTTCATATCTTGATCATTTGTAATTATACCCCCCTGCCCTTCTTTTCAGAATTACTCATTCTCTTGCTCTCATTTAGAATCTCATGACATTGCCAACACTATTTCTTGCCATATGTTGCAATTGCAGAGATTTAGTGTAATTAGTACAAATGTTCTCATACTTCTAAAAGATGTATAATAATTTGAGAAACAACAATAAATACAATTAATCAGAGAAGCACTGCTGGTACTTACAGGCAAAATTCTGCCAAATATGTTACAGAGATGAATCAAGCTGTGTGAAAAAAATATTGAAAATCCAGGAGCTTAAATATGTATGAAAGTGTCCCATTAAGAAGATGAGAAAAATTAAAAGTTTCAAGCTCCAGTTATTTTTAGATTGTTACTATCGTGAGATTTTCCATATGAAAACTCTGGACAAACAGCATTGTTTTTAATTCTCAAGAATAATAGAAGAATAATAGGTAATGAGAAAAGAGTAAACAAAAAGCAAGGAAATACAGACAATACTTGCAGGAAAAATAATTTAGTTTTACAAAGCTTTAGATTCACAAATTCTCAGGTCACATGTAAGAGCACTATTCCTAACTGAACAGATTTAGCATTTTAAAGAAATTTTGAAGAGTTCCATTTTACGTCCTACATAACGTATACAAATGTATCTTCCCCATATGTAGGAAAAGTGCAGAAAAGTTTCTTTCTGTAGAAGAACACAACCCAAATAATTTGGCCAATACTGGCTAAACTCTCTTCTGCTCAAGGAACCAATAATGTTTAAGCTACTTTCCACCAAAACGGTTATTTCATGTCAATAGGCCGCTCCTATTACAGTGAAAAAAATAAGCTCTTTCCCATCCTTCGGAACAGATAACATAACTACACTTCATAAATATTACGAATACAGTAAGGCCTTACTATAAAACGTTATGAAAATAATACAGCAGGTTGAAGAAGGATTGTCCTACTATATGAAGAAGCTTCTGGAACAGCGTAATTTCCACACTGATTTTTTTCATTATCTCTTTTTTGTAGCTGGCCTTAAGGGGGAAAAAAAAGAACACAGGAGGGCACTTGGAGAAAACTGGAGTTTTCCTTCAGTTCTATTATCTCTGATTTCCAATTTCTGCCTGAAATTGTTGGCAAAGGTGTACAGCTGAACAGCCTGATTTACTACCAGGGAATTAAACCAATGCATTCCCTGCCCAGCTCCACGGCATACAAAAGCATTCCTTACCCACTGCCAAGAACCAGAGACTGCTTTAAACAAACGCCACAATTACACAAATTGGAAGCTACTGGAAGGCTCAGACAGAGACACTTGGAAAGTAAAGACGAGTACAAGAAAATAACCGCTTCATGGAGAGAAACTGATCAGACAGATTCCATTCTACAACTGAAGCAGAAGCCAACATAAAATTTTAATAACTGCTTGCTTATTACAGTACCACTGCAGGAACAAGGAGCCCTAAAAAAGACCACCATCCCAAAGACATATTTCTAAGCAAACCTTGGAACAATAGATCTAACTTTTCAACCTCTATTTCCTTCTTTAAAATTGACTGAAATAGAATACAATAGAAAGTGTACAAAAAAAAAAAAGATAATAAAATAAGGTTCTGATTTTTCTAAGTCTTGATTTAATTGCCTCTGCTTTTACTAAGGTTGCGGGAACAGTTCCCTAATTTTCCATTGCTCTGCTTTAAATTGACCAACAGGTAAACCTGCAGCATTTTTTATTTATTTATTTTTATAAATTGCCACGCAGGTATGTCAAAGATTAGTAGAGATCAAGGGCCTTGCCTGGAATTTTACATTCAGGATCAGATATAAAAATCCACTTTACTGCAAAGAAACATTCTGGTAACACATGTATTGGCTTCCGTTGACTCTACATTAAATCACACATGAGAGATCTACAGCACAACTATGGGAAGATGAAAGTCTCCCAGCTTCCCTTCACAGGGAAGAATAATCATATTGATATGACCATATTACTATCAGGAATAGCTTACAGACTACTAGTTTACTTTACACAACAGCTTTGCGCAGGAAAGTGCTGGAATGAATAATGATAGATCAGAACAGATAAAGAGCTCCAAACAATCAAGTGGAGGGAAAACCAATGAAGCCCTGGCAGTCTTAACCCAACCCAGGTGACTAAAGTAAACCAAATTTGTGTGCTCATCAAAGAGTGAGCCTGTTAGTGTCCTGGCTGTTCTACCCTCAACAGTGATTCCACATCACGCTGAATAGTTAGGTTGCCCAATCTCTCTGCCATCCAGTTTACAATATAGCTACTTCAGAAGACCATTATATAACGCAATAAATAATTATGATTAACAAGTAGTAGTGTTTGTAGAACTTTTCTACATACAGCCATACTACAGGAACCATATGTAAAGTATATCTGTGTTGCATTCAAAATTTTGCTTTAAGCATTGGGCTGAACTTTTAACTACTGAATTAATGCCTGTCATGGTTTTATGTTTTTTGGTTTTCAGTATTCCACACCATAATGTCACATAGTGCACTGGGAGTTAAAGTGTTAATGCTCCAATTCCAGGTACCTATCCCTATACATTACGGTAGTTATGGGATCTGGCCCTACCAGGTGGGGCGGTCTCTCTTACTGCCTTGCAATGGCTGCTGGAGGGTGCTTTCCTAGCTGTCCCAAGCTTTTCAGGTTTGACTTGGTCTTAGGAACTGTCTCTCTCTCCTATCTTAGATTTATTAGTTTCAATTTCAATTAGATTGTATTATATTATGTTATCTTGCATTCCGATATCATAGTTAGTAAAATAAGTTTTCTTCTATAGACCGTTGCAGCTATTTTTTCTTCCTTCCTTGAGCCCAGCTCCCATTTCCTTGTCTCTTTTCCTTTTCTCTTCCCATTTTGTGGGGCTGGGGAGGAAGGGGGGGCATGGACCTACTGCCCCCCTGTCCTGGGCATAGATTAATCTAGTTAAATCTGTGACAATGCCAAAAGAAGTTGATTTGTTGAAAAAGCCAGTAGTGCTTGACACCAAACACAAAGACTGTCTGCTGGCTTAACTTAGGTGACTCGTAAAGGCCTATGGTGGGCAAAGACATGGTTACAGCATGGTCCTATCATGACAAACTTTGATAAAGAGTCTGTCCCCTTCTTTTTTATAGCCCCCCTTTAGATAGTAAAAGGCCACCATCAGGTCTCCCCAGAGCCTTCTCCTCCCCAAGCTGAATAGCCCCAGCTCTCTCAGCCCATCTTCTCAGGGAGGTGTTCCACCCCTTGGATCATTTTTGTGGCCTTCCTCTGGATGCAAGCCAAGAGGCTGACATGCCTTCATCTACATCAGGATGTAGTACTCTGGGTGAGGTTTTGCCAGTGCAGAGTGGAGGGGCTCCCACACTTTGTTTGATGCAGCCCAGGATACAGTTGGCTTTCTGGGCTATTTTATGTCCAGCTTGCCATCTCCCATATCCTTTTCAACAGGGCTGTGCTCTATCCTTTTGTTGCCCAGTTAGTAGTGATATTAGAGATTATCATGACTCAAGTGCAAGATGTTGCACTTGGCTTTGTTGAACTTAATGAGGTTCTCCTGGGCGCACTGCTTGAGCCCGTGTAGGTCTCTGGATGGTATCCCATCCCTGAAGTGCATCTACAAGGGCTCATTTCAGTGAAAGGATGAATAACAGAAAGCACATTCTTTGGGATGTGCCCTGGGATAACGGAATGTGATAATGCTGCAGCCAATTGCAACCACAGCAAGTTTCTGAGCATGTAGATTTGGCATGGTAAATCTTAGCACTGTAGCCCTAAGAGTCTGCTCACAACAATGCAGTAAGGAAAGTGGTTCTCAGAGGAAAGATGCCATTGAGGTGCTAGTTGCTATTTCACTTTCTGATCAGTTCTTCACTCCAGTAAGGCTCCTGATAAAGTATATGAAATAAAATGACAAACTGCAGTAGTCAAATGATATGCGACATTGAAAAGACTGTTTCATGAAGTAGCACCTAAAGAATCGTAAAACTGCAAAAACAATGCAGGTACAATAAGCCTTTGGGATGATTTATACACTTTCTTTAAATGCATAATGTATACACAGTAACTGAACCAAGGTGAAACCATAGGGACTTTCAGTAGCATACTGAATTAATGTACCAATAACAATCTATTGAATAATTGGTCCATTTTTTTGTTTAAATTGTGAGCATAAATGTATTCAAGACCTTCTATTATACAGCACCTGTTTTAGAGGTCTGGGACACAATATACCCATCTCCTGATACTCTCATTATAGCCTAGTCACATACTGTTACACAGATGAACCATTCTTACTTATTAATATTCACCTCAACTCATTTTACAGTTTGTTTCATTCAAGGCTACAGCATGATTCTGGGACACGTTAAATTTAATGATATCATATGCAATGGAGTTCTGCACATTTGGTAACAAGAGTTCCTGGACTTGTACTTTCAATAGTTTCATCTCTCCACAAGCAGATTTATTTCAAACCCTGAAGAGGCTCACATAATGGACTTTCTTCCTAACAACAGAATTATTATGAGTTAATTACTGCAATGTGATGGACAGAAGGAAACAAGCACCCTTCTGCATTAATATCCAAACACTTAAGATTCAAACCTTCCCGCCTCTAACAATTATATTATCAAAGAGCTCTACCCTAGAGAGTGAAGCAAGAGCCAGTAGAGCATTCATTCAGCCACAGACCCTGACAATCCATTTGGATCATTTTGCAATTCTCACCCTTTGAGACAAAGAAGATCTGGTGCCTTGCGTTTGAATATATTCTAACTTTGATGCAGATGCTTAAGGATATTCAGAAGGGGAAGAGAGAATGATGAATGCTGGTCAGGAATTACATGAAGGACTGGCCAGACAATGCAAGAAGCCTTCTTCACTGCATGCCAAGTGCTGCCTCTAGCCCGAGGAAGAATTTCGGGAGTTTAACTATTAAAATGGAAGGTACGAATGATGCAATGAATCAGAACTGGGAAGAAAAAAATATTGAGAAAAAAAAGAAAAAATCAGAACAGATTTCAACTCTGCTGCACTGCACTTTGTTGAGATTTGGTTACACAGCCTATTTTGCCCCGGCCAGACTTACTCTAGGTCTTAAGCCTTTGTCTCTTCTGCCTAGCAACTTTTGACAACTTTCCCCATCCCTTATTGTGAGGTAGCCCTCTGCCCCAGCCACACCTCACTTTTCTGTCCTACCTTATGGACCCACTTCTGTCTTCAAGGGAAGTGAATAGAAGCTGCTTGCGTAGCCTGCCCTGAGGCACTGCCAAGCAGCTGCCTCCCTCCCTGTGCCACCTCCTCTGTTTACATTCTCAAAGAATTTCAGGCAGCTGAGGGGTTTGGACTACCTCAGACCTGCCAAACTAGTTATCATACAACTAAGTCACAGTCCTGGAATGAGCAGAATCAGGCCAAGACTGCTTGCAAAAGAAGAAAAGGGGAGGGGGATAATACCAGATGGATGGCAAGGAGGAGAGGGGTAGTGGGACAGTAGGATGACTATGAGAGATATGTATGGACAATTAGTGACTCAGCCCCTCTGCACAGCTCATCCTCAACTCCACCTCTACTGCTGGAAACCTCATATCCTCATAACCTCAACATATAACCAAAAGCCTTGACCTTGTCTGCTAATGAATTTCACCCAATCTTGACTTCTATCATCGCAAGGATTTTTTTCTTACGTATGCCACCTCCCTTGCTGCAAGATACTTTATACTTTTTTTTTCCCCCCCTTTTACAATGTTGAAAACAATGAGCAGACTTAAAAACCTTACATCTCTAATGTTACAGCAGTTTTCATATGATCTCAAATCAGAACAATCTCAATACATGTCTGCATTGAGCCAACATTTGGAAACATTCAGCACCATCACATTATCATTTGTTTTCAGGGAATGAAGTTTATGCCGAGCAATACAGACCCTATTCTTAGCACAAATTACCTTAGCTCTAGCTCCTGACTGAGGCTTTCTTTTATGTTCAAGAATGAAATTATATCCAACTTTGAGTTGATCTGCTGGATATAGAGTGGAAACTCACCCTTTCAGGATAGAGATCCTGTTCTATCATGCAGTACTAATGCATGAAGTGCTAGAATCATTAACCTTGAGTTGTTTTTTTCTTCTATAACAAAGCCACAAATATTAATTCATAGAAAATGCTGTAGAAAGAAACAGATGCTGTCGTTTTTATAAAATCTCAACAAAGCTTCTAGGGATACGAAGGAGCACTGTTTCCTAAATTCTGACAAAGGACACGAAGGTGGCTGGAAATTTATGCCAATATCAGATTGAGAACTGTTGTAGGAGATGCTGTGATATGAACATGTACATAAAAAATATCTACTAATCACTCACCTTTTCTTCATTACCAGCACAACCCCCAGAAATATAATGACGAACAGCAAGATGCCTGCAATGACTCCAGCAATTTTAACAGTATGGTCGGTCTGCTTCTCAGGCTCTGGGTCTGGTTTTCGAGTAGCAGCCCCTATGGAATAAGTAAAAGGAGACGGAAAAAGAATAAGGACGTTACTCTTGCCATTTCTATACACTTATTGATGCCAATAATCCTAACTGAGCCAACAGATACTAATTTGTGATCTTTCTAGAGATAAATCCTGCTTTCATATGCATTGACAGGAATATAATATAATTTTTCATATTGTTTCCTGAATTGTCAGACCACAACACAGGTAGGATATCACAGTCAGTCCTGACCCTCTTGTAAGAGCCTTTTCACAGTCTCACAAATTCCTATATTTTTATTATCTCTTCTGGCTCTCCTTTCTTTCTGCCATTTAGAAACTTACAACACAATAACTATCCTAAGCCTTTATCCAAATTTGATTTGCTGGAACATTTTCCTCAATTATTTTTCATAAATGAAGCTGTAATTCCATAATATATTAGCTTAAACACCTGGAAAAGTGAGATAAGCTCATTTACTATGCATTTTACCCACAATTGTTTTTTTACACAATAGACTTTTTTTTTTTGCCTTTGGAAATCTAAATCTAGGTCACATCTGGTAGGCAAAAAGACTCCTAAACAATTTATTCACGAAGTGGGAAGCAGCTGATGATCACACTACTGGCACCCACATTTAATATCTGTTTAAATGAGATAACCAGTGCCTTACAGCATCTACTGTCTTAGCTCTTTCAGCTTCTCCATTTTAAAAAAATAACATCGTTTGTACTGTTTACTGTATAATGTGACGGAACGTCAAATCCATGTCTGATGAAATATCCATTTCCTCTACTAAATGAGTTCAGGATGAAAAAAAATGTTAAGGAAGCAACATTCAATTCACTGAACTGAATTTTTTTTTTTTTAATGGACTTCATTTTTATTTTTTTTTATTTTTTAAATCAAAATGTGACAGTATTCATCATTTGAGGCACCCTGCCATAACATGGACACGGAGATTTATGCACCACTCTCCTACTATAGCTCATCCTGGGAAGGGGAAAGGCAGAGCAAAGTCTAACTTAAGTGTAGTATTTTCAGACCATGTTCTTATCTCACTGCCCAGGTTCCACAAAGGTTTAAAAAGCATCAAATGTATTTTATTTGATTCTGCATTTCCTTTTTTTTTTTTTTTTAAAGAAAGCAAGTCGGTGATCAAATTCAGAAAATTTTTGCATATAGAATTACAATGACAAGTTTCTCATGTTCTCACTCACAAGCAGGATGTTCCAGGATGGTTGTTCTGATTGCCTGCAGTTACATTCACAGCCTATTTCTTCCAAATTCCACTAGGAATGTGTGGAAAACCTGGCAATTGTTATTGGTGTCATAAAATGGGTCCTAACACATAATCAAAATATACCTAGAGCTAACTGTGAGTACCAGGTTTTTTTGAAATAATCAGGCCATGGTTCTTTGTGTGGGTGGTAACTCAGAGAAAGGTGATCTGCTACATATCTGTGTGGATTCCCAACAGAGTATTAGTTCTATAGCAATGAATTGCAATTCTCTATTAATAAAATTCTTACTCTAAATGTGCAGTCATAACAGAATCTATCCCTATATTTTCTTCTGTGCATATGCATGAAGTTCTGTCATAAACAGTTCTATTTTTAACTTCCTTATGTCATAGATAAATGATTTTAAAATCTATACTGCTCAGAAGTGTACAAGATATTTAGAAAACACCCAGTGTATCATCTTGCAAAAGGCAGCTGTTGAATTGGATTTGACAAAGAGGAAGCAGTGAATCAAGCAGTATGTTGCAAACAGCAGGAGATGAGAAGGACGTTGCAGTGCTCTTCTAAACCAAAGACCCAAATGAAGAATGCAAAGACAACAAGAAGCAGCACCATTTCAGGTATAACTTCTAAGACTGGTTCCTTCCAATGTCTCTTCATCATCACCTACTTCAAGCTACTTCACCCTACTGGACCACTTAGAGTAACACCTTCTTAAAATTTGCCTTGTGGTTTCCTTCCATTAAGGATTTCAATGTGACTTTTGGGAAGCTCAATATTAAAGTTAGTGAAGACATCCTTGCACCATTTTAACATACAACACAACTACCCTATCCATTTTATCTCATTGTCCTGTCTCTCTTTGACACAGGATCCTCATTTCATCGGAACTACCTAGAGTTGCACAGTGCAGAGATAGTACCAGTCGTATTGAGAATACAAATGTTTTCCTTGTATCTTGGAGCACAACTTTCATGAAATGCCTTCAGTGACAAAACATTACCCTCTGGGTAATGCGTTACAAGCTGCAGAATCCACCTCTAACACAAACTCTCAAAACAAATTGTAGACAAGGAGAAATACAAAGTCTAACATTAGGACACTGAAGCTCCCATACCATATCATATAGTGATTACCCAATTGAGTAATCATCGGAAATTTTCTAAGAAAATTACATATAGTGCCACTCTGAGGAAGAAACCAGAATTGTTTATCACCATGATGGACTCAGCCTGACTCGCACAAAGGACTGTCTTAACCTGGAAGTATGTTGTGCGACATCCCTCTTAAAAAAACCCAAAAATAAAAAGATACTGGTATTAACTTAGTTCTCATTTGGTCTCATCGAGCATCTCATTCATTCACTGAATGTTCTTAGGGCCAGCTGATTTGACAATCCACTTGGGTAAAAGAACCAAATTTGCCACTTTCCACTTTGCTTGAACACCTCTTTTTAAAAAGAATATTAGAAATTCTGGATCAACATTTTCTCCATTTTTATTTAAACTGTTTATTCCTTTAGTGTACCTCAGTTTCTCTTAAAACCTTAAAAATTAAAAAATTGATTCTATTGCATTCCACCCCATACTTCAGCCCCTTTAGCATAGTCTGGTTTTACTTTGACAGCAGGCAGACACTGAAGAGCTTGCATCTGCAGCAGTGAAATCTGCATCCATTTCTTCAGTGCAGCAACCAATTTTGCAACCTCCACGAATGAAAAACTCTTCAAATTTACCTCCAATGAACACTATCAGGACTGAAGTTCAAGATGATACTGCCTCTTTATTCAGTTTGGTTTTGCTCTTCATTAATCCACATCACCTAGCATCATGATCATGAGCTGCTGCCTCAACTCTGACTCTGCCAGCTATTTAATAGACACATACAGCACATAGTGTTAAACCCACAAGTACACTAACTATTATAAAAGTTTAATTTTACTTTTCTTTGGTTCCTGTTTAATAGGTAGATCTTGGTCTAGAGTTACAATTCATCTCTCATCTTGTAATTACATAACTGACTTCTAATCTGTAGGCACATCACAATTTGCACTGGCTTTACAGAGAGGAAGGCAAACAATGTGTAAGGGGATGCAAGTCTCCAGAGGCAGTAGTTCTGAAATTAATTTTACTACTTGACAGACTGTAATGGCAATTTATGCTTTTAGTTTTGATTGCATGTTTCCAAAAGAAACTTAGAAAGTGTTACTGCAAGTTTAAAAAATGGTCATGTGTTTTTTCTTTACTGTACCACCATTCTAAAAAACATGACAAAATGTAACCTTTTTTTACAGTAATAGTATTAAATATACACTATATCATGATATCATAGCTGTCTCAAATAATTTGTCTGATACAGCCATTTTAAAATCCCTTGCTTAAGCTAGAGGATTTGAAAATGTATACCAACAAGACCAATGGACTCCTACATCTCCAGCAGAGTATCTGTCTTAAATTATAGAATGGCTTGGGCTGGAAGAGACCTCAAAACCCACTCAGTCCCATCCTGTGCCATGGGCAGGGCTGCCCCTCAGCAGTTCAGTTGCCCGGGGCCCCATTCAACCTGGCCTTAAGCACCTCCAGGAATGGGGCACCACAGCTTCTCTGGGCCATGTGCCATGTGCCATGGCCTCACCATCCTCTGAGTAAACAATTCCCAACATTTAATCTAAATCTCTCCTTTTCTAGCTTAAAGCCATTTTCCCTTTTGTCCTATTACTGTCCATCCATGTAAAAAGTTAGTTCCTCTCTTGCTACAAGATTCCTTCAAGTACTGGAAGGCTGCAACAAGGTCTTCCTGGAGCCTTCTCTTCTCTAAGCAGAGGCAACACTAGTCCCTCAGCCTTTCTTCATCAGAAGATGTGCTACAGCCCTTTGGTCTGCTTGTTGCCAACATCTGAGCTAAGCCCACTGTTTTTTCCTCACAACGCTAGACCAAATGATGTGATAGCTTTTTGTTTGCCTGACTTTTAAGTTTCTGGTTCTACCTTTGTACACAGCAGCCTGACTTTAAACCTTGCACAGTAACCTCATTTCAAGTTGGAACAATCGGGATAAACATATCCTGACCACACATACTGTGGTGTCCCTCTGGAGTGGCAATAGGTCAGTAAAAAGCAGCAAGTGCAGGACAGCTCAAGGGAGCTTGCTAGGAAATGAAAGGACAAGGATATGTTTCCTGACAGTTTACAAAGGATCAAGATGCTGACCTCAGAAAGTCCTTAATTGATGAGAGCAAACTCTCTGCCAGAAGCGAAAAAATTGAGATACACTTATAGATAAGCCCCATGATGTCACAATATCTAGCAAAGTATTTCCGCAGGCTTCCTGCAGTGAATAAAAGAAAGACAGTAACATTGTTTGGTTCAAAACCCTTAGATATCTACCCTTAGTTAATCTGAAGAGTTTCCAACTTTCTTTTTCCTTATTTCTTCCCCATTCTTTGTGGCCTTCAGTTCAGCAGCATTTAAGATGTGAAATTTCATTTTTTTCCTTAACTCAAAAATAATTGCCCTTCAACTGTCTGACTTAAGACTTGCCTTCATGGTGCCCCTTTTGTTCGGTATCTTGGAAGACCCAGTGATTACATTTTTAAGTAATGCCACAGAACACCTACTTATTTTTGACTCCCAGACCTATCTCACCAGTATTTTCTTTATATTGGAATCTCCTTTTCTGTGGTTTAGTGCTGAAAGAAATACTTTTCGGTGTCTTACCAAATCCTCCTCTGATTGAGAAGTGAACTATATTCCTGTCATTGGTATCTAACATCTACTGTA